AACTAGCGGGGTGCCCGGCCCTGCGCTGCTCCGCTCCAGTCACCTCGCCCTCGGAGAGCAGCCGGGGCAGGCAGTTGTCCCGGTTAGGGGCACAGCTGCAGGGGGTACTGCTCCTCCTCATCAGGTTCACTGTAATTTGGGAAACTCTTGGCCTTGGTCTGGTAAAGAGGCTCAACAGGACTTAACGGCTTATTAATTTGATAAGATCTATTTTGTTATAACTTCCTAATGAGCTTCAAAGCGTGGCTGATGCAGTGGTGGTGCTCAGTGTGGAGCGCAGCTCCTCTGACTTTCATGAGGGCCTTTGGCTTCTACAGCAAGGCATTTGATGGAGAAGATAGAATGATGTCTTGCCATACTCAATGAGAGATAAAATCCTGGCTAATGGCTGGATGTTGGATGTTACAGATGAGGAGCTAGCAGGGAGCAGCTCTTTTCCGGAGAGCTGCTGCGGGGAGGTTGTAAGCCCAGCTTTAGAAATGGCTGTGGGTTGTCGTGGTTTGAGAAATAAGGTCAGGAGCAGAGAAGTTTGAAAGCAGTTACGTTCCATGACCTGGAGGAAATCGGAACATCTTTGCCCATGAAACATGTGGCTGCTCAGGAGTGACCCAGCTTGGCCTCTGTGTTGGATGTGCCAAAGTTTGAGTACGGCTACGGTGTGGCTGTGCATCTGCAAAGCAAAGACAGCTGTAGCTGTGCAGGGTGGGCAGTCTCTCTACCAGGCTGGTCTCCTGTAGAGCTCTCCCTTCCTGGGGTAACGCGTTGAGGACGAGAAACCCTTGCTTGGAGGCTGAGACCTAACATGATCCCCCCATGTCTGAATGGGAGTCTTAAGTGAAAGCTGGCGGCTGTTGCTGGTTTTGGCACTGGAGTTGTTGCTGCTGGGTTTGCTCTCTGGCTCTCGTGTCTGCAACTCAAAAAGGATCTTCAGAAAAATTGGAGACGATTCAGAGAAGGTCTCTGGAGGCCTCTCAAGTTCTGGAGGACATGTCTTAGTAGGAGATTCAGGCAGCTCAGTATAGTTTACAGAGTGACTCAGTCTGTCTGTAGGTACAGGGTCACAGCTCCAGTAACAAGATGCTCTTCAGTCTAGCATGCAGGTCTATAATCTGCTCTGGTGGCTGCAGAGTTGCCTAGAAATATCTAGGAGTGTTCTTGGTCAGCCACAAATATTTGACTTGATGCAGGAATAAGCTGGAGTGGGCTAAGAGCCTGGCCAAGACCAGAGGCCAGGTTAAAACACTTGGCTCCTTCTTGCCTTCAGGTTTAATTAAATGCTTTTTGTCTCTGTCTTGATTGATCCACCATGTAAGCTGACTTTGTTCCAAACTGGCCAAAGTTTAACTTGCCTCGTGGTCTAGGACGAGGGTGGGCGTAGCAGAGGAGGCACAGGGATAGCAGGTTGCTGCTGTTGAAGTCACTTGGCTGACCAGGTCCCTGGAACTAGAGAAACTGGCCGTACATTAGGGTCAGCCAAACCCTTTGCCTTGCTGAGGCAGAACCGTTATGTATGAGTTGATTTAGGGCTTCATTCCTGAAGTGACTTCCTGGCCTGATTAGCTTCCTCAAAATGCACTTGAATCCATTCCAGTTGCCCTGTCCTACTGCCCTCCCTCCCTTCCTTCCGGGCGTGAGGGGTTGATTGATCTCTTTTCTCATGGAGTGGGGCTTTTGTGGCTTTTGCTGAAGATGCTCTCTCTTCTTTAAACTCTCTGCTTTGTGCCCCAGATGGTGAACGCGAAGAAACTGGAGAAGGCGGAAGCCAGGCTGAAAGCCAAGCAGGACAAGAGGATGGAGCGGGATTCCCTGAAGTCATCTGGTCCTCTGTGAGAATGGAGGGCGCCTCACGCATCCCCATCCCACTCTGCTGAGTGTGGCTGGGGTCTGGCTGTACCAGGGGTTTTTTTCTCTGTCTTCTGTCTGCCCGCAGGGTCCTCGAGGAGGCATCTGCCAGCCAAGCTGCCAGCAAGAAGGAGACTCGCATGGAGTCATCGGGCAAGAACAAGTCATATGACGTGCGCATCGAGAACTTTGATGTGTCCTTCGGCGAGCGGTGAGTGCAGGTGGGGAGGTGGGACAGATCCTGGCTGGGGTTTTGGACCATGGGTCATTGAGACTGGATCGGAGAGTGGTTGGGAGATGACAGAGGGTGTAGGAAGGACCAGAAAGCAAGGTGGGCACCTGACCCTGTTGGATTTGGGGGAGAAGTCTGTGATGGTTGCTTGGCCCCAGTACAGCCTGAAATACACTGGGGGCAGGTGGCTGCCGGTTATCTCCCACTCCGTGGGGCAGTCTGACCAGGTACCTGCCTGTTCTCTTGCTTTAGCGTCCTACTGGCGGGAGCAGACCTGAACCTGGCGTTTGGACGGCGCTACGGGCTGGTGGGCAGGAACGGGTTGGGGAAGACCACGCTGCTGAAGATGATCGCCAGCCGGAGCCTGCGCATCCCCTCGCACATCAGCATCCTCCACGTGGAGCAGGAGGTGGCGGGGGATGAGACGCCAGCACTGCAGAGTGTGCTGGAGTGTGACACCACTCGTGAGAGTCTGCTGCGGGAGGAGAGGGATCTGACGGCTAAGATTAATGCCGGCAGGTGAGATGTTGCTGCTGGGTTTCCAGCCCTTCTGTGGCTTCTTGACTGCAAGGTCTTGTTCCGAGGTCTCTCCCTTCAAATGGAGGGCTCCAGCAGGGTCGGGCTGCATCTTGCCCACCTTAGTGCTGCTTGGACCAAGTCCCCCAGCACTCAAACCCTGACCCCTGTCAGCCCACACGGTCCTCTTTGTCCTGCCCCAGGGGAGAAGGGACAGAAGGTGCCAGGCTGTCGGAGGTCTACGCGAAGCTGGAGGAGATTGAGGCAGACAAGGCCCCAGCGAGGTGAGACAGCCCTGTGGGCACCGCTGTCTGTTGGCATGGGCAATGAGTTGGGGCATGGGGTATGGAAGGGCGGTGCTGTGGTCCTGGGATCCAGCATGTGGGGACGGGGGCTCTCCCTACTGCTCTTCTTGTCTTTTCTTCTGTCACAGCTCTGCTGGGTTAGGAGTAGTTGAGCTTTCCCCTGAAGCTGGAGGGGTTTCCCCCTCCCCGCCCCAAATGGCTTGCATTGTTGCTGCTGCTCCCCTCAGACCTCCCCAGGTTCCTGGTGTCTGGGGAACATTTCTGGGATGTTGGTGGTAGTGACTTTCTTCTGGCCAAAGAGCTGAAAGCTTCTTGTGAATCTCCTGGGACTTCATGTGGATGCTGCGCCCTGCTGGGCTGCATTTCCCAGCTAAGCGCTGCTCTTGGGCATGCAGGGAAGTTTTCCTGTGCCAGAACGGCCTCAAACCATGCAGCAGAGTCCCCACGGTGACTGTGGTCTGAGACCTCAGACTGTGCTCTGCCACTGGATGCTGTAGCTGCGTTCCAATTCTCTCCCCTTCTCCCCAGGGCGTCCGTCATTCTCGCTGGGCTTGGCTTTAATGCGAAGATGCAACAACAGGCAACCAAGTAAGTCTCCAGATTCTGGGCATCGAGACAGAAATGGGCCTGGGGAGATGATGCTGCTAGCGAGCCCCCAGGCCCTGGTGTGGCTGGAAGGGAGAGGAGCCCTATGGGAGAGTGAGGGTGTATTCCCACCCATCCGACGTGGTCTCCTACCCTGGGGGTGCCAAGCCACTTGCCTGCTGGGCCATCTTGTGCCGTGCTCAAGATCTCTGCAGGGACACACCATCTCTGGGTGACAGCAGAGCCAAAAGGGCTGAGGGGGAGCAGGGAGCTTGGCAGGCAGGCAAACACAGAGTTGTTCTGCATTAAACGGTAACCCCTCTCTGCAACCTCTTCTCTCCTCAGAGAGTTTTCCGGAGGCTGGAGGATGAGGCTGGCCTTAGCCAGAGCCCTGTTTGCCAGGTTGGTGTCCAGGCCTTCATGCCATGGGGTTAACCCTCCTTGCCGTCCATGCCTCAAGGTGCAGGGGTGCTGCCTGGGGGTTCTCTCAACTCAGGCTCTCGGGCTGGGGAGCATTGAAGGCATTGCAGCTCTGTGCATGTGGAGAAACGCACTCTGCACTGACCCTGTGCTCTTTTTGCTTCTGATACCCATGCCTTGTTTTTCCTAGGCCAGATCTCCTTCTGCTGGATGGTAAGTTGATACTGTGAATCCCCTCCGACATCGCTGCTGGGCCTGCCTGTGCCCTTCCTGGGGTTGGGAACACATCCTGGCCTTTAGCTGCCTGCTCAAAATAGCCCTGTGTGACAGAGCCGGTGCTGGCAGGGCTGTCGGCGCTCCCCTGGCACGGCGGGCAGAGCTGGCGGTGGTGCAGGGAAGTCTGCTTGGGCAGCCACTTTCACTGCGCTCAGCAGAGCTCTGCCCCGTGTCCCAGCCGGGTGGTCTGTGTGTCGTTGTGCCCCACGCAGTCCCTTTCCTTCACCTGTCCCTGTAGTGGGCCCTGGCTGTCAGCACACCCTGGGGGAGCCCCTTCGCCGCAGGTGTGACCCCGGTGCTGGGCTGGTTCCCTGGGGAGGTGCCCAGCTTGGGTGGGGGGTCTGGGCAAGGGGCTGCTGCTGGGCACCAGGGTCCGGGTGCTGGTATGGAGTGGGGGGAGCACCCCTGGCTGAGCCTCAGCCCCCGTGCCCACCCCCTCAGCACATCCCACTCGTGTGAGTCCCCTGAGCTGCGGGGGCAGGTCCCCACACAGGGTCACTTTCTCCACAACGCTGATCACTAGTCTTTCCCACATAAAAAAGCATAAACCATTTGTCCTCATTTCTCCTGACCT